CGAAACTGGAGCGGCAGGCCGGGAAAGCGCCGGTCTGCGGGGACCGGTCCAGAGCCAAGGGCAGCTCCTTAGGGAGCCTGTTCTGCCTCCCCCGCCCCGCATCAGCGGTGCTGGGATGAACGGGCTCGGTCCCACGGGGAATGGCTCTGTGAGTGAGTGGGCAGCAACAAACGTGGGAAGTAAGGTCCTAGCCTAGGGGTCTGCCAGCACCAAAGGGTCACATTCCCATGGGGTCCCATGGCTGAATCCTGGTGGTCTCCTAAAAAATAAAATAGAATAAAATAAAATAGAATCAAATTTTATTTTTATTTTTTTTTAAGGAGAAGTGCCAATATGCTCTGCTGTTTGGGACTGGCCTAAAAGAGCCAAACAAGTCCTAAACTGCTTTGTTGTGGCAGTGCCCAACCAGCACTGAGCTGACGGGTATACTGGCAGCTTAACCCCATTATTTGTTTACTCAGTGCCTTGATAATAAGATCAACAACAGACAAAAATAATTTGGGGAGTAAAACGAACTTTTACAAGCCTGTAGTGTTTTTGTAACTTTATGATGCCAAATTTCAGCTTTCGTCAGCTCAGTGGCAGGAACCAGAAGCACTGAAAATAGCTATAACACTTAGTCTTATGACAGCTGCTATGAGTAATGTTGCCCAAAATGTAGATTTTTAGTTTTCAAAATATGTAACTTAAAATGTAGGACAACCTGCACCTCTGTAGAATCCTTTTCCTCCCTTTCAATAGTTGAAAACCTACCACCTAGAGAGATCTAAAGTTAAACTTCTGATGCATTTTCTGAAAGAATATACTCTACAAGCTAGTGTACTGTACAATAAATTCTTCAGAAACTTGATGTCTTCCTCTGGTCAGTTCAAATATGCTGCACAAATAGCTTTTGCTTACTGTATCTGCAGGACAGTGAAGCAGCTGGTAGGCAGTATCAGTTCGACAGAGATCAGCTGCACTAGTTGGAAACGGCCCATGCTGAGGGAGCCGGTCGAAGGCTGGGCCGGAGCTGAAACTGGGAACGCAACCTTAGAGTCTCTTCAATAGTCTCAGCATCAGATACCAAAACTGCCTTTGTTTTTAAGGAGCTTTTCCATACCTGAGAACTCCTGCATAATTCCACATGACTCAAACACATGACTATGGCTGGCTATGGATACCAGAAGACACAGGGTAAAACACAGTTTGTTATACAGGAAGCAAATAGATGGCAATTTTAAGACCATGATAATGTGCATTGAGTCAAAGTAGTGGCTATTCTCACACAATATTTTGTCTTGTGGAATGACATGCTCTGCATAAGCCTGGCTTATCCATGGTCCCTTCTCCTAGTCCTGCTCCTCCAGCATCCACAGTCACTGAATTAAGAGTGATAGACAGCACATCCTCCTCTTTTTCTTTTAGCACCTACTATGGATCTTTGTTCATACATCTATTTAAATCCCTTTCTGACTCTGATACAGTTTACCACCACAAACCCCTCTGTTCTCAAATTCCAGCAGTGAAACTGTTGCATAAAAACTTTTCTTTTATAAGTTTTAAACTCATATCCTACTTGTTTCAACAAGTGCCCCTTCCAATAATATTACTGATTTTGGTGAATAACAGTTCAACATTCAGCTTATTTATCACCTACATGATTTTTTCAAGGTTAGTCAGATTTCCTCTTCAGCTTTTTCATGTCAGAAATGACAGTCTCCATTTCTTGTAAGGCAGGTGCTTCATCCCCTTGATCACTTGGAACCAGGGATAACTTACTTAGCTCCATAAGGATCTGCTAAGATGTGAAGACCCAAAATGGACCATTAGTCAGGATATGGCTACACGTACCAATGTTCCACAGACCTGCAGAATAATGCTGCCTGCCTTATTCCAAATACCTTTCTGGGTGATACTAAGATTTGTTTTTTCTTTTTTTTGCTACTGCCTCCCATGGAGCCATTGCCTATAGAAGAGTAGAAACAGTGACTGAGATCTCCTTCCTGAGTGCAAGTTCCACTGCTGAGTTCACCATCAGGTACACAAGGTTTCGATTATTCTTTCCTATCTCCACTGTCTCACCTTTATCTACAACAAAACTAATCTGTGACTTTTCTGTTCATTGGTTTGTTTGACACCCAATTGACTTGCAGCCAAGTTTCATTTCAAAAGCACTTGTAAAGCTGGCCATTTTCCTCACTGACCTCTGTCTCCTTGCTCTTCTGTTTGTTTGGCTTTTTTTCCTGATGCTACTGTTGCCTTTCCCCTCACTGTTGAATGGAAAGTGCTTACTTTCATTTTCCCTTTTCCCCTCCCACTGCCTTGATACAGCCTTGTTACAAGCATTCCTGAGCTAAGTTGGTTACTTCACTGTTGGTTGGTTGCTTCCTTCATTTATACCATGCTTATGAGATCATTCATAATAGGCCTGTCCTTCTGGCTATTTACCCTCTTGCATGATTCAAGTACAAAGGTAGGAAAAGACAGTTGCCTTTTATGCCCAAGATAAGTCTTCGTATTTAAAATCAGTGTAGAGTGTATAACTCTGTTTTGAAATTAACTTATTTTAAGCAGCTTTCAGCCTTTTTACAAGGGCCTTTATAATTTTGCCCTTGGTATAATATGATGCAATATTGAAGAGAAAATATGTTAATTATGTGAAAAAGACTGTTCAGGAGCCTTTTCACATCTTTGAGTTCCCATTGTGCTTGCATGAAGCTATAGGGAAGAGATACAGACACAACAAAAAGCATTGATAATTATCAAGGATTCTTTACTGATTTTGGAAATGAAGTATTTTAAACCTAATTTTCCTATCCAGCTGAGGCATTAGGCAATGAGCTCAGGGCTGAGGCTACAATAGGTCTAGGTCACTGTGCCATTTTCAGTGGATCTTCTGCAATTCCCAAACTTTCAGGAGGTCAGGGAAGTTTCTGAGACAGGGTGAGCTAAATGATAATTTATCACCTGAAATAAAATCCCTGTGCAAAGCTATGTTTAGAGATTGTGTGGTTGGTGACACACATACATATATATGTATATACAAACATAGACACGACATAATATTTCTTGAGTTGTAGAGTTTGAAGTGTTGTGATTGTTTTTAAGATCTCGTGTTCACCACAAGTATTCTTAGTAATTGAATTTTCCACCTCAAAGAAGGAAGAAAGGCTGTAGTCCCTATATCTGCATTGGCTCAATTGAATATGAACAAAGATATGAATGAGGGGAGAGAGGAACCTGAGTTGGGATCAGAGAAGATAGGAAATTGGAAAGAGTTCCTAACATGCAGCAGAAGGGTTGTATAGATTGTACAGACTTATTCAAATTGATTGAAACACTGAAACAAACAAGGAGCAACTTCAACATCAGATTTCAGTCTAAATTGCATTGTCTTGTTCTTCTTTTGCAATTCCATTTTCAAGTTTGTGATCAGTAAACCCTTTATTTATTAGAAAATCCTGCTTTCATTCTTAAGCTTGTGTCTTACATAAACCTCAAGGAACTGGAAGGGCAGACAGTTAACTTCTCCTGCTGGAATGGTCTCTGCTGACAACCTCAGAGACAATTTTGGAAATCCTCAGGAACAGAGATGTTTCCCATCCTGCTTCAACAATACCATCGTGAGGTGGCATTACTGGAATTAGTCATAGCACGAAGTCTCCCATTCCACCCTGCTGGCATGAATCCGTTCCAGCAAGAAACAGCTGACAGAGACAATAAAAACTGTTTAAAGGGGAAAACCTGAAACCCTGTTATTTACTGATCCAGACATTACTGAGCCAGTAGATCATCTCCAGTAAAGTAAAAGAAAGGTGATGGGAATTTGAGGATAGCCAATGACAGGCCTAATTAACATAAAGGAAACACTTCTTATTCACAAGAAGGTTTTGTTTCCCATTAAAACTTGCAAACAGGATGAAGCTAGTTCTCCTACTCCTTTTTCAAGTGGAAAAAAAAAAGAAAGGTAGCAACATGAGGGCAAGACTGCCCAGCTACATCAGCAATTCTGTCTGGTAAATGGAAGTGAGGGAAGCTCCAAAGTGAGAGAAGCCTGCCATGGACAACATGCAATTGGTAGGTGATCAGGTTTGAGTATGGCTCCTCACTTTGGCAGCAGTGGCAACTCTAAACTGCCCACACAAGAATGAGGTCAGGCTGACTGAAGGTAGAGTGAGGCTGAAAATTTGTGGTGTACTTATTGGTGTGTTTGGACACCTCGAAGGACTGAGGAATAGCAACTGGTGCTGTGATGTTCCTTCTCTAGCAATAGCTGTTGTGCCATGAGGAACTGGGGAATATGGAAGCTGGAAGCTTGGTCCTGGTCTCTCCTGGTGTTACCATGAGTGGGCTCCTATCTGCCCTGCCAGTGTCTCACCTCAGGCTGCCAGCTGTTCCTGCTGTCAGGGCTATCCATGTACTCAGCCTGGTGCAGTAGCTTTGCTTGAGGTCCGGTATTGGAGGCCAAGAATTAAAGAACCTACAAGTATATTCTTTCACATATCTGAAGCCTTCAGGCTTCCTAGCTTGGGCTGCTTTGCAATGCAAAACTGTTTCAACTTACAAACGCTCCTGACTTACTAAGAAGGCTGCAATGCAGTTATACAAGCTGAGCTTTCCCCCTGCTTCACAAGTCACACGAGTTTTAACCAGAAGAGCCAGAGCCACTGAGACCTCACACACCAAAAGTGGTCTTCAGGTGCTAAACGTGCTCAAACCCAGAGGTGCTGAAACCTGCTACCAGCGCTTGGCAGTCAGCGGGTTCCACCGCGGCCGTGTCCGAGAAGTGCATCTGAGGCGTGGGGACACGGGGGACGCGCGCGGGGTGGGGTGGGAGAAGGAAAACATCGCGCCTGCGGCTCGGTGCCAAGTTTCGCTTCTGCGAGAACGGAAAACGAAACGGAGCGGTTCCCCGTGCTCCGGCATAGCGGGGCGGGACGGGACGGGACGGGACGGGGAGGCTCTCACTGCGCTCTTAAAATGCGGAGCGCCAGGCACCTCGCTGCAGACTGCGAGCCGAACCGGGTCGGATTGAACCGAACCGAGCCCAACCGAACCAACTCCGGCCGAAGCGTGCCCAGGCGACTCCAAGTGAACCGCAGCGCATCCCGCCGGGTCCAAGACGAGCCATGCACCTGTACATGCTGGGCCGGCTGTTGTCCATAGGACGGGCGGTGCTGGCGGCGCTGCGGGGGCGGCTGGGCGCGTTGTGCTGGAGCCTGACTCCCCTCTCCCTGTCCCTGCCCCTATCCTTGCCCGGCTGGCGACGGGACTCACCCCCACGGCGGGAGAGAGAGCAGGAGTGGGACGACGCGTCCCCGACACCCACCAGTGTCAACTACCACTTCACTCGGCAGTGCAACTACAAGTGCGGCTTCTGCTTCCACACTGCCAAGACCTCCTTCGTGCTGCCGCTGGAGGAGGCCAAGCGGGGGCTGGCGATGCTCAAGGAGGCGGGTGAGTCCCGGGGAGGGGGCGCCGGCGGTAACCGGGGAGGGGAGACCCCGCAAGAGCAAGCGCCGTCGAAAAAGTTATCCCGGGAATGTTCCTATCTATACCTTTTCATGAGGCTGCCGTGGGGCACTGATAGCATGGGGAAGGAGCAGGCGACGGGCAGCAGATGTTCATCATCTTTCTTTGCTCCTTCTCTAGGAATGGAGAAAATAAATTTCTCGGGAGGAGAACCGTTTCTTCAGGACAGAGGTGAATTTGTAGGCAAACTGGTCCAATTTTGCAAGCAGGAGTTGGAACTCCCAAGTGTCAGCATTGTTAGCAACGGCAGCCTGATCAGAGAGCGGTGGTTCAAGAAGTACGGTAAGGAGGAACTGCTGGGCACAGCAACACTGGCCGGGCTGGGGGGCCTTTGAGGAGCAGCCTCACCCACAGACGGATTTGGGGGCAAGTGGGAGATGTTTTTTTAGTGGTTTTACAAACCAAACGTAAATACCAGTGAGATTGTGTTGATCATATTTTGTGAACATAGGCATTATACCAAAGGCCTCTTTGGCATAATGATGTAATAAAACAATAGCTCAGCCTGTCTCCATAATGCTGGGGACAGACACGCTCAAGTTATGTGTTTTGACACTGCTGTTGCTGTGGCTTTTGCGGTCGATGGGATGACTCCACAGAACTATATTTACATGGTACTTCATGACAGATGATAAGGAAGTGAAAGTGGGCATATTTCTGACAGCTTTTAGCTGAGGGACTGGATATTAATCAATTTTTAAAACTTGTTCTCAGGTGAATATTTAGACATTCTGGCAATTTCATGTGATAGTTTTGATGAGGATGTCAACATTTTAATTGGCCGTGGTCAAGGAAAGAAGAACCACGTGGAAAATCTGCATAAACTGAGACAGTGGTGCCGAGAGTATGCTGTTGCTTTCAAAATAAATTCGGTGATCAACAGATTTAATGTTGAGGAAGATATGAATGAGCAGATCAAGGCACTCAACCCTGTGCGCTGGAAGGTAGGAAAGTAGTGTATACCATAGGTTTCTTGTTCAAAGAAAAGTAATAATGAGGTTTTGGAGTTGTCTGAATGTCTAATGACCTCAGTTGGATCTCCAGCTCGGGCTGGTGTTAGGGGCCTTCTTGTCAATGTTGCATGGTGTTGAGATGGGTTCTGTCTCATTCTGCACTTAAATGGAGCCTAGTATGTCAAGAATCTTTTTCTGTTGTGATACATACAGAAAATTACTATTTCAGTGTATGTAGATATGGGTATATTTTATGTATATTTTATTATATTAAAATTAAAATAGAAAGTCTTTAAGATTTGGAAATGTGTCACAGTGTAGAGAAAATGAAAAATCAGTATACAATGATACATTAGAGTCAATATATTGTTAGCAAGATATGTGTACATTAATGTTCTGTTATAGAGTATTAACAATTAATGTACATATATTATATTTTTTATTAGAATGCATTAAATACATTATGTTATCAGTTTGCAAATGGGTAGAGGTAATGTGGCATAAATATGAGAGAACTTGTGGAATAATTTCTCATTATTTGCTTCATGGAAATTGTTAGACACACAGAATTTCTCAGAAAAAAAAACACAAACCAAACACTTTAAGTGAAATCTTGGTCCTACTAAAGGATAGTAATGAAATTTAGAAAATTTAGAACTCTGTAATGGTTAAGTTGCTAAAAATAAATCTGCACCATGCTCTTTGTATAGTATTCAGTTATCACAATTTGTGTCAGTGTAGCCCCACTGACAGAAAAATTAAGATATTGCTACTGAGACAACTAAAGGTTTTTGTCATGGGGACAGTCTCTTAACCTCAAGGCAAATGAAAATGTAAAATCTTAACTAGGTGCCTTCTGTTTTCAGGTATTCCAGTGCCTGCTCATTGAAGGGGAGAACAGTGGTGAGGATGCCTTGAGAGAAGCAGAAAAATTTGTTATTAGTGATGAAGACTTTGAACGATTCTTGGATCGTCACAAAGATGTCTCCTGTTTGGTACCTGAATCTAATCAGAAGGTAAAAATTAAACTGTCCTTCTCTAACTTTATTTTCAAATAATGTTGGAAAATTGGAAAGGAACTAGAAACTTTCATGGCATTTAGTACTTTCCCTACAAGTAGTGGCTTAGAAGAGGTACAGTACAACTTTATCAGCAACCAGTTTTGTTATGGTAGAAGCCAAGTTTTTTAATTTTCTTTAAGGTTTTTTATTGACCATGAAGTTATTAGCAGAAAACTAAAAACCCATTGATCCCAATCCTGTGGAAACCAGTGGGAGTACTTTTCCCCACCACGGCACAACATCCTGAAAAAGTTCAAAGTTAATAAAAACACACTTTATACTCTAAGCATAGTTTCCTATAGAGATTCTCCAGCTTAAACAATCACAACATTTGTTTTGAAAATGGTATAATCATTCCAGCATGCAAAACTGTAAGTTCTACTGCTGTAAAAACTAATAGAAAACTTGGATATTATTTAAACCACCTTTATCCAATTGGGCACCCACATTTCAATTAGACACTGGAGAGGTCATATTTCAAGAATTACTAGTTTATTCATACATAAAGTTATTCTAGTAATTCTATCATTTATTTCTCTAAATTTGCTCCAAGCTCACTGAAATACTGGTGATACAATAACTGTTTCAAAGATTTGTATCTGACTGAATCATTGTTTGCTTTGTCTTTCATTTTTCACTAGAATGGAATTTTAATCTGTATATTAATTTCATTTTTTTTCTTTTGATCTACTACAGATGAGAGATTCATACCTCATTCTGGATGAATATGTAAGTCTTTGTTTCATACTTACTATTTGTATGCTAATATATGTATGTATCAACAGTGATAAACAATTCGATTTAGTATGCATTCTATAAAACAGTTTTACCATATAGTACAAGGAATGGATGTGATTTATTCCCATCAGACATAGTAAGAACTTTAATATAGTATGAGCTGAGGAGAACTTGCAATCAGGTTGCATGCATAATGATTACATCACAAATTTAAAGTGTAGATGTCTATTTCTGGAGGATATCTTCACTTTTTTCTTTAATTTAAAAATACAGAACTTGCCCTGAAAGTTAAGTTTCAAAGTGCCTACTTAGTTTATGTGTAATTGAAGAGCCAGTCTTCAGGAATTATGGTATAGCTTTGTTCCTGCTAAGGTGTCTAACCATGAGCTTCTGAGCTTCCTAAGGACTAGAGTGAAACTCTTCATGTACTTATATAGGCTTTTGTGGGATTGCAGTGCACCTTGTTTAATTCTGTGGGAAAGTTAAGTTTTTGCAAATTGACTTTTCAATGTCTTATCTATTGATGTTCCAGATGCGTTTTCTAAACTGTAGAAATGGACGGAAAGAGCCTTCCAAGTCTATCCTAGATGTTGGTGTGGAAGCAGCTATAAAATTCAGTGGATTTGATGAGCAGATGTTCTTAACAAGAGGAGGAAAGTATGTGTGGAGTAAAGCCGACATGAAACTAGACTGGTAACTCAATATACTGAGTTAGGGCAGCGCATCATGTAAAGAAAATGTGTATGTATATGAGTGTATACCTGTATTTAATGCTTTTAATTACACTTGGTATATTATACAGACTGATGTTCAGTATAACTCTATATGTGAATGTGTTTTTTAAATGCAGATTATGTACTTTTATTTTATTGAGCATAACTTAATACTTTCAGAGCTTTCATATGAACAGATGTCTGAAATAAACTTTCTAATCCATTTTATGAAGGACTTAAGGGCAAACTGTTAACATAACGTCACGCAGTAAATGTTTTTAAAATACTACATGAGTGTGCATGCCAGAGAAATCAAACCCCACCCCAATCTCTACTTCATTATAAACAGCTGTAAGGATGGAGAAATGAAAACTCTTACCGGGGAATGCATTCTGCCTGTTTCTCAGGGAAAGGTGGATTGTAGTTCCTCTTTAGATCACAAGAGGGCCAGCTGGTAGGCCACTGGAAGCACCATCTGCCTTTTTCGGAGGTAATAGAGGGTCAGAATCTAGGAATCATTATCTGTAATAATGTATTTAAAAGAAAATCAAGATGAAAAACTTGGCCATTCTCATTTTTTAAGACTTAACTGTAAAAGTATCTGGTTTTATTCTCCCACTCCTCCATATGCACAGACAACATTTGCAAAAATGTTGGGGGATGTAAATTTCTGCAAAAACATATTTTTAGTCATGAAAGAATATTGTATTTGTCCATCCTGAAACCTAGAAGTACGTTCTACCTAATGATAAACAGCTTCTTATTTCACATTGGCAATGGCCTTAGTTCTAACTAATATTTACAGTGAGAATGTTTGCATTTTATTAATTCCTCCATTTTCCTTTTATCTGCAAATATTGATTTATTATTTTCAGCTTTTTTTCTCTCTGCATGCATACAGTTTTGATGAGGATTCCTTCTCAAATAATACTATGTAGCACAACCTAACATGAATCTTCTGTTGCATAGTGGCTTTTTATTTTGCTAAGCCATGGAATTACAAACAGAAAAGTTCATTTTATCTTGTAACCTTGCTTTAAAGGTCGCTTGGTTTAGTAATTAATTATCTTGCTGGCTGCAAACCTTCAGATATTAAATGAAATTAATTAGATTTTTTGATAGCTGCCTTTAATTAAGAGCTTGCAGCATCAATATAAAATAAAGAAAAAAATGAAAAAAACCCAAAAATAATCAAGTATACTATCCTCATTCTTGGGTTTCTGGCAATTGTTATGTCTTTGTAATTGCAGCTTTTCAAATTTAACCAGTCCCATCCTCCTCCTGTTTGAAGGCAATAGGGATAAGCATTGCAGAGAGCAGAAGTGAGCTGGCACTACTCATTCATCCTGTCCGTTGAATGTCTGGACTGTCTCACACTTCTAAATATTTGCAGCAGTTGGGAGTCAGCATGCATTAAATGTATCATACAGAAAATGACACTTTTTTTTTTTTGAAGAGGTTTTAGAGAGAAATATTTTACATTCACCTACTGCATCTTCAAAGTTGAAGGGAAAAGTGCTTAAGTAGGAGCTGCTACTTCTGTGCACCTCCAAATACACTGTAAAAATGTTTCCATTTATAATTCCTTCAGTTTCTATTTTTACTATCCTGACTGTAAATATACTCAGTGGTGCTCTTTTGTCTCTATGTATTTTGCATTTTGCAATCACAACACTTCCTAGAAACATTTTAGTCTTTTTTTTTCCCCTTGTACTAAGTGGCATTTAAAATGTGACCCACACACATTAACCCCACAGTCTTTTGGCAGCTGTTTCACTGACCTCAGTTGGAGTTCTGCCTGAGCAGTAACTATGGACAGTGCAAATTTATGTAACTGGCGTTTGACTTCCTCTGCGTTCCCACTGCTCAAATGTTAAATTCAGCCTCTTCCTCAGCACCTACGCTGCATGATAGAAAAGGAGCATTCTCCTTTGCTGCTGGCTCAGTCCCAGCACAGGGAAAGATTTAATGCATCAATGTACTAGTAAATCCACCAGCTTGCAGCTTCTGCAGGAAATGCCAGCTGTAGCACAGCACGCAGATGCGTGGTACACAAACTCCCCTTCAGACCCCAAAATTCTGCCATTCTTTGCTTTGCATCTTACCCTGTAAATGGCTATTCCTTTGTTTCCTCTGTGCCTACAGAGGAAGAAACAGGAGAAACAAAATGGAGCTGAAAATGTCAAAATCCAGTAAATCATGTAAAGACATTGAAGACAGCTTTTATGAGAAGGTTCTAAGTTCTTATCTTCTTAAAAAGGTTAAGGATTTTACATCACCTCTTGCTACCACATACAATTAAGAAAAAGGTTTCTGCTCTGTGTGATACTCTTTTTCAAAGGAAATACCAGTTGTGTACACTGGAAATGAAGAATCTGACATTACATAGTTCAACTAAAAGTCATTTAAATTGATGAATAACTCTTGGTATTTTTATATGCAAAATTCATTGTTGTGTAAAACGTTTTTTTTCCTACAGCTTGATTAATCTAGCTTTTTTGGGGGAGATTTAGTTTATAAACACAGTTCATATTGGACCAAAAATAGACTTTAGGCTTTCATTATGTAGTTAGGCCTAAATTTCAGCACAGGACTAGAAAAACAAAACTGAATTCAGTAGGGCTACTCCCAGGCTTAGCAATTACAGGTACATCTTGACCCTGAAGAGTCAGGATTTAAATCTTTCGAGTCTTGTAAACACAGATACGCTCAATTTTCATGTGTAATCTCATAGTATTGCAGCTAAGGACTTGCTTAAGATGCTGAATTGGGAAGGAACTGACACTGTACTGTAGTAGTGTACTACCATTACGGAGCTATTCCTATTTGTAAAAAATTTGTAGAGAATGAGTGTTTGGGGAACTAACTTCTGATAAAGTTATGACTATACCTTGGGTAATGAATAAAATTGTCACTTAAGATGCACTTTAGGATACCCTGTTTTTCAGTGAGAAGGATGCTGTTATCTTTGAATGTTACAAAAGATTAATTTTGTAATAATGCTGTCAAGTATTTAGCACTAAGTATTTCACATGAGTATGTTGCACATTTCAATAAAAGTTTCTATTTTCTTAAGTTTGGTTGGTTGTTTTTCTTTTTTTTTTTGTGCAATGTAACCCATACTCGCAGAATGTATGTCTGCATTCACAAGAGATCTGTAATTCAGGATGCAGTCCGTATTTAGCAGGGGGCCGCTTGCACAGTGCCAAGGACAGCATCTAGGCTGAAATGGAGGACAATAGTGGTGATTTTCCTTGTGATGAAAGGCGTTTGTTACAAGCCTGAGTGGACTGAGCTGTGCTGGGAAAAAGACAGTTCAAATACCTTGTGCTGTTTGGATGACAGCCGCTACGAAAGACACAGCCACCCATAAATATCTGAGGACAAAAAAAGATTATCTTCTGTCATGGTAAATAAAAGAGAAAAGCCAGTCTATTTAGAAGACCGAATATAAGCAGCTTCTCAAGCTCATCTCCCCTCTTGAGGCTCTGAGCAAACCCTGGTACCAGACAACGCGAACTCGAGCTTTTCACAGTATTTTTGCTGAGTTTGAGGAGAGGCTTAGTCTTTTATCCCTCCGTTTGTCTTTTTTTTTTTTTTGTTCCCTGCATAATGAGGTGGGGTGAGGGTGCCCAGGAGCAGCACCGCAGCGAGATGCTGTGTGTGTCACGCCCCGGGGCTGCTGTGCTCTGTATGTGTGTGTCTTACCTGGGGCTGCTGTGTTTTGTGTGTGTGTCACCCCCGAGGCCGCTGCGCTGTGTGTGTGTGACCCCCGGGGTTGTTGCCGGGCTCTGTCACCCCCGCCGCGATCCGGGCGAGGGCTGAGCTGCGCCGCGGTGAATCCACCAGGCATCTCCCGTTCGCCTCCCAGCTCCGTGCGGCTCCTACCGCGCCTGTCGGAGGAGCACTGGCCCTTGATCCATTCATGCACCAACAACAGGGAAGGATAGACAGCGCTAGCAGCACACCCCTGCCCATCATGGTTCCCATGCTTTTCCTTCCTTCCTTCCCCGGCAGGCAGGACAAACCCCCCGCCCCCTCTGCACCACCAGCCGCCGTTGCTCTCTCCGGCCGCCGAAGGACCTGCTGGGCCGGGGCCGTCACGTTCGGGCAACCCGAGGTAATATTCCTTAAAACAGACTAAAAATCCCACAATAAAACTGCCGGCGGGGCTCGGCACGGCGGGGCTGGGCCGGCGCCCTCAGCCCGCCTGGTGTTGCCAAGCAGGAAATCCCGGGATCCCCGCGCTCGCCGCCGCCAGGGGGCGCCGCTGTGCCTGGCGTAGCGCGGCCGCTTCAAAGCGGGCGGTGGCGGGAGGCGGTGGTTTAATGGCGCCCGCCCCCGCCCGCCCTTCTCCTCCGCCCCCGCCGCAGAAAAGCCCGGGAGCGGCGCCCGCCGCGCACACTCCGGCTCCGCGGGGGGTGGAGACCATGGGTGGGGCGGCGGCGCCCTGCCGCGGCTCCGCGGGATAGCGCGGGACAGCGCCGCGCACCGACCGCGGCCCGACCCGCGCCGGCAGCGGCTGGAGCGGCACGGTAAGAGCGGGCGGGGGAGCCGGCGCGGCTGGGGTGGGGAGCCCGGCTGGGGTGGGGAGCCCGGCTGGGGTGGGAGATCCTCCCGGGGCAGCAGGGACACCTCCGGGGGCGGTGGGGGTGCTGTCGTTCCCCCCGGCGGGGCGGCCGGAGGCGGTGCCGGACCACGCGGGGCACCCCCGACCCCTTACGTAGAGGGCTGTGCTGGGCGCTCCCCGCGGCGAGGGTGCCGCGGGCAGCGGCGGCGTTATCCCGCTCCCGGAGCCCCTGGGCGGTGTGCGAGGAGAGGCGCCTGGCCGCGGGCAGGGTATGGCGGGGCGCGGGCTGCTGGCGGAGCGCTGCGGAGGGTTCGCAGTGACAGCGGCTCCGCGGAGCCCCGTGTGCTCTGCCCGGTGGTTTCCGTAACGGAGGTGAAACGTCTCGGAAGAACCCCGCGCACTGGACCGCGGTGGCCGCTCTTGAGGGGAGCAGGAAATTAAGTGTAGGGGTTATAGGGGTGTGTGAAGTGCCGTGCCCTGCCGGTGTTCTCGGATACAAGCGAGGTGTGCGGCGTGGGGAGAAATCGGTTCGTTTGGGTTTCAGAGGTGGAAGAAGTAGGAGTAAGTCTCGCTTTTTCCTTCTCTCGCTGAGCTGAGATGTTACCGTTGACTTTTTTGAGGTGTTGGAAGTAACCATAGGTACGATAATGAGGTTGCCTCCCACGCCCTGGATTGCTAATGTCCTTTTAAATCAAGGGTATCTTGTTCCTGAAAAGATCAGGCCCCGCATCATGTGTTTGTGGCTTCTATAGAACTGGAACAGGGAGTGTCAATGGGGCAGGCTGATGGAAGAAGACACAAGCTGTTTGTATTTTTGCTGTATTCTTGGAAATACTGTCGCTTCTGCACTGGAACATAATATTCCCTGTTCTGCAACAGGCATAAATGATGATTTATAAATAGATTAATTTGTTTATATTGTTCCCCGTGTAGCCAAACAACTGTTTACATTGTGAAATGGCTTGCTTCATTTCACATTAGCTTATCAGTGCTGACCCAGGAGTGGCTACAGCTGAAGCTGCACGTTCTTGGGCAGAGTGCTACCGGAGAGATTACATCAGTACTTTAAACTTCTGGTGGCCTGGCCTAGTGTGTGCTTCTCTTACAAGCATCAGATGTAGTGAACGGGTGGTTTGGGGGGGGGGAGGGAAGGGTGTGTGGGGTTGTGGTGTCTTGAGGGGCAGACTTGTGCATTTAAAGAAAATGCTTTGTTTATACTTGGAAGGGACTTCACGGTGTGGGAGAACTTAAATTGCTTTTTCCTGGTAGTGGGGCATCAGTCAAAGTTTGTTAAATACTCAACAGAAACAAGATCAAGTGAGAAGAATGGTAATGGGAAAGAGAAATAATTCTTTTGGTTTAGGAGTTGCTTGAAAAAGACAGGATTTCCCCCACCCCCGCCGTCGGGAAGAAGTTTTATTTCTTTACTCCCCTCCCCCCTTTCCCTGGCCATTATGTCTCATTATCCTCTTGAGCAATCTGTGTATTATGAGGGGGGAAAATGTCTGTGATTGAAATACTAGTACAATGATAGGTGTTTGTTTGATAAAACTACTTTCAATGAGCCGTCCTTTATGTAGAACAGAGTTAACTTCTAAATCTCCTTGATTCATGTTCTAGGACCTGCTAGATAAAATCATGTGTTTAGCGTCTGCAGTTATTGAAGATTTTGCCCTTGAATCACAGTATTATGTTATCTTCACTTACTGTCTGAATTTTGCTTATTTTAGTGTTTTAAGGCAATACTTTGTTGAGGAAAAAAAGACTAAAATTGCTTAACTCCTCTTGTTTCTATAATGTGTTGCTCTTGTTTTTTTCCCGCTGTTTTACATTCCAAGTCTTTGTCACGTTTCATGAGAGGTTTTGTAATAACTTCTTACAGCTTTTCTTTTAGTTAAGCCAGAGGACAAGGCTGCTGTCTTAAACATGGATTTTGGCTGCAGTGTCATAGAGTGGGTATGAATGGCTTCAGTGTATCTGCTGTATTTACAAGTGTGTTCTCATAGGCTGGCAGAAAACTCTTGTTTGCCCTCCCAGTGCTGATTCAGGGAAAAATAATAGCTCTGATCATCCCACAGCTTGGTCTGCAAATGTAGACCCTTTCTCTCCTAGAAACTTGATGCAGCAGGGGAGTTGGAACCTGTTACAATTATTGCCGTGCTTCCTGTGGAGTAGTATCAATAGTTACACCTTGAGTTAGCGGTCTATGGTTTGATTAGAAACCTTTTTATATCCTGAGTTACAAAAAAGAAACTGAAAACAATTACAAACGAATCCACCACTCTGTTTCAATGGTTTAGTGATTCTAACAAGTCTTAGGCTGCAGTCAGCTGTTCTTATTATAAAGCAGGATCCTTTTCTGTTTTGCTTTGCAGAAATGAGCTCATAAAATTCATCTTTCCCTGACCTTTTGAAGGAGATCAGACAAAAAGATCATAATGTCTGTTTTCCAGTTCTGATGGCTGGGAGGAGCTCTTGAAAATACACTTGCTCCTCTGGCTGTCTGCTGCAAAGTGATAGGAATATTTTTTATGCTTCCTAATCAAATGGTATCAGAAACGCTTACAGTTTTTCTGCATATGCAGTCAGCAAATTCTGGAGCTGACAGTGCTAATACCAAGTAGGTTTTTAAACAGCTTGACTGTTTGATGGGGCATTTATAGTGGTGACACCTTAAGTGTCCTTTCTCAAAAAGTCTGAAGAAAATGAGGAACAGAGTAAGTGAACCAATATGTCTCATAACTTCATTTACGATGATGAAAAATATTCCCACCAGATGGTTCTAGGCTTGGCATGACAATGTTACTGCCTTCTTATAGGATCATTTCATCTTTTCATTCAAAGAATAGCAAGTGAGTGGTAGCTTTTTGCATTAAAGTACCTTACTGTTATCCTACAAGTATCACTATGACAGTTTAATACAACTACTTCCTGTTTATATTGAATGGAAGTGACTTATGATTGAAGAAATGCACTAAAGCTTACTTAATATAACCTTTTCCTTTTCCTTCTGTATGATATCCAAAGGATTGTCTGTGATACTTGGGAATGAATATGGGTCTTTCAGGTTGTCTGAAAAATAAGATTCTAACTCACCAGGTTCAGGCACAGTTTTTTTCACTACATACAAACATTTAGCTTTGTTTGCACTGATCACTACTTTGCTTGTGAGCAGCCAATTCAATAGTTTTGGAGTCTTTCTATTTATTCTTGAGTTTCACTTGGAAATTTTACTGACTGTTCTGTTTTTGCTGTAGTATTGGAGTTATTTCCTGTTATCATAAAACTCCACTACAAACTACAAACTATCAAAGCTATCACTGTGGTTCTTGGAGACAGTTTCAGCTGAACTACCTTCATCTCAACTCCAGTCTCTAATAAATAGGTCATATACATCATAAAAATTGTATAATACCTGGCAACTGCTGTACACATTCAGCCCTTGTGGAGGACTCTTAGCTAGTGACGAATATGAAGATGAAAT